CCTCCGTGTTTGCCCCTCCCCCCCTCGTGTGTCCTTGTACAACTCATGTAACTGATAATCATAGATGTCACGTGTAGAACTTAACCAAAATATAGTAGCAGTATTCAGGTCTGATGGGATCACATTATTAGTGGTTTCCCCGACGTGTATTTCTCATAACTGGATGTTTAATATTTTACATAACTCAATGAAATAAGCTCACAAACTAACATTCATAAATAACACTAAGTTTACATTAACACTGGACCTTAAGTAGATACATTTACTTAACACCAGTAAAGTAGATGACCTTAGAAAAAAAATCTGTAGCATTAACTTTGTCTTTTAATTTGTTCTTAGCTAAATGTCTCTAGTTACGATAAATTCTCGGTGTTATTTCTTGACGTTTTTTCTTACATCTTAAACCAACCCTTTAGGTACATGATTATTTTTTTTCATTAACGAGGAATATTTTCATCATAACACCGTATTAATAAGCGTCAGGCAATATGTACCAAGAGGATTCATTAATGCTTTACGCTTCTTTAACGCTTCACGCTCCCGGCACCCTGTTGTACCCTTTGAGTGTATTACCTTTACGTAAATGAATTCTTCGAGTTCTTCATTGCCGCCTCTAACACGTGACTCTAATAACACGTGTATGTCTCTTGAGTTATTAAATGTCTTGTTATTTATGTCTGTGATGAGTTGATGTCACTTTTCTTGGGTACTTTTACTCATCATGTCTACCTGTACTATTTTCCTAGGTATTATTATTTTTTTCCATTTCCCACATTACTTTTTTAATATATCTCGCTTTTTTTTTCATTGTTCCCATTACGTTCTATCATCTTCCGTCACTTTTCTGAGCTAACTGCAATTTTCTTCATTTCTCCAGTGTCTCTCTCTTCATCGGAGCTTCCTTATGTCACTTTTCATTATAACTCACTGACGTCACTTTATATCAGAACGCAATAGAAGCTACCCAGATTGACCCGTGTACAGAGGAAAGAGTATTGACCACACACACACACACACACACACACACACACCTTTCGACTCTCACTGACCATCACCACGACCTCATCTGCAAATTTGGTAAGAAGCTTCTACACCATCCTCGACACCGGCTCCTACTACCACCTGAGATCCCTAGTCCGAGAATTGCTGTTCGACACCACAACCGCATCCAGCCCATACGTGCACGAACTGGTCGCTATAAGAACAGCCCAGTCCCAACCATTGTAAAAATTATCAATAACTTGTAATAAACCGTCACCGTCACAGCGTCACCGTCACAACCTCACCGTCACAGCATCACCGTCACAACATCACCGTCACAGCATCACCGTCACAGCATCACCATCACAACATCACCGTCACAGCATCACCGTCACAGCGTCACCGTCACAGCATCACCGTCACAGCGTCACCGGTACAACATCACCGTCACAGCATCACCGGTACATCAGTCTTCATTCATTGCTTTCGGTAAAGTATCCCCGGTAGAGCATCACTGGTACAACTGGTATAGTATGCGGTATAGAATGTGTCTTTCCTTCCTTCCTTCCTTCCTTCCTTTTTTATTGTTCTTTTTTATTTTCCTACTACTGGCCTCTCTCTCTCTCTCTCTCTCTCTCTCTCTCTCTCTCTCTCTCCTGTTTGCCCTTAATATCACGTTATTGCTCATTAAATTTTATCACAGTATCAGAGGATAATAATGATAATAACACACACTAAATTTTGTGTTTTGTTTTGTTTTTTAAGTTAAGATAGCCGCTGGTGGTAGGTAAAAAAAAAATGGCCGCTGGCGAACACGGGTTTAGAATATGTGTTAAGTGGAAATGTTTGTTATATAATTTCTTCCTTAACCCCGTATTTATTCTCCACCCCCCCCTACCCCCTCCTTCTCCCAACCCCCTACCCCACAACCCCCACCCCCCACCCCCTAACACACCTTCCAGGCTTCACTCACTGGTTATCAGTTTTTCTGTTTATTTTCGCGCTTGTTCTAGTTCCGGCTTTGCGTGGAGTCCCAAAACTAATGGATGGTGCTGCTTGTAGCGAGACAGAACAAAAGTCTAGGGACAATTTACGCTCGTTTTGGAATTAACAAACATTTAATAAAGAAAAAAATAATGTTTAATGAACGTCGCCACCAACCGCCACTAACCGCCACTGCCACCAACCGCCACTAACCGTCACTGCCGCCAACTGCCACCGTCACTACTACTACTACTACTACTGAGGAACCCCGTGGCATGTGTTGGAAGCTGAGAGCCAGAGTGTGATGCCTTGACTCTTGGATTGCCACACACACACACACACACACACACACACTGCCTCCCACACTCCTCCACTACTACACACACTTACACAACGCCTGCCACTATATTCCTACTGTTACGCTGCCTCCCACACTTGATTATCCCCTCCCCCCCCCACACTTTTCACGCTGACACACTTCCTCCCACGCTGACACACTTCCTCCCACGCTGACACACTTCCTCCCACGCTGACACACTTCCTCCCACGCACCACCTCCCTCCTACACAATGGGTGATGATAGTGGTGTTTGGTAGAGTGCCGCGGGTGTAGTGGTACTTGCTAAAGGCACTGTGTTTGTACGTTTGTTGTATCGACCGTGTAGGCGGGGTACCGCAGTGAAGGCGCTGGCCACCCCCCCCTCCTCCCCGCAACCTCCTTCACCACTCCCTCGCCTCAACCCCGTCGGCTCCACCCCTCCCCCTCGGCTCCTCCCCTCCAGACACTTGGCTCGACTCCTCCTTTATCTCTGGAGCCAGGATACTATGACTCCCCTCCATCTCCCTCACCATTGTAGTGTTGGTGTGTGACATCCGGTGCTCTAAATGGTGGTGGTGCTTGTGTTGTTGTTGTTGTTGTTGTTGCTTTTATCATTGCCTCTATCTCTACAGTGGCCCATTGCTCCTGGTGCTGTCTATACCTGTACTGTTATATATATATTTTTTTATATCTACCGTAGTCATCGTTCCCTATGCTACCTTTTGTTACTGTTGATGCTACTGTACCTATATCTGAGAGGGACGCTACTTTCCATGTTATCTAATGCTGTTATAGATGCTACTTATGTTACTGCTGTTACTGGCGCTACTTCTTTTATCAATGCTCTCTTTAACACTACTTCATATACTGTCAGTGTTGATGATGGTATATTTCATGTAAACGACCGCTGCTTCCTGTCTAGTTCCCATACTTCAACTGTCTTACGTCGGTCTTATGCGTCTTGGGATTAGAACTACTGTATGTAATGCCTGACGGTGTTGTTGGCATGACACTGCTTCACGGTCCAAACAAGCTCTGGGACTTATGCCTGAATGCTGTAGAGATGAGAGACTGTCCTTACCTTATAGGGCACTCTAGCCTGACATGTGGCTGTCTGGCCCCCTTGACTATTAACCCTGTAGGGGACAGAGACCCTTCCTAAGGTGAATAAATTCATCTGAAGTTAGAGTGAATAAACTACCCAATTACCCCATTGCCATCTGAAGGGTTGAATTGGTGCTGGTTGAATGGCCCAATTTAGGGGACTCTGGGGGGGTGATGGTAAGCTTGGGCTCTTGGATGGTGTTTTTTAAGCTTATCAAGTAAGCTGGCCGCCTCCTGAAAGATGTAAAGTTGTTTTATAATCTTTTAAGTATAATGTGTTTTTTTCATTATTATTTTTAAATGGAAAATAATTTGTTGGGTGAACGGCGTCATGTGAGTACGTGCTTTATGATGCCAGATGAATTATATAGTACAATTAATAACTATCATCACTATTATCACCACTTTGTGTCACCATGATCATCTTCACCACTATCACCACCAACTATCACCACCACCATTATCACCACCACCACTATCACCACCACCATTATCACCATCACCACTATCACCACCACCATTATCACCACCACCACCACTATCACCACCACCATTATCACCACCACCACCACTATCACCATCACCACTATCACCATCAATACCATCACCATCACCACTATCACCATCAACAGCTTCCCTCATCACCAGGCCAGAGACAGGAGTGGTGATAAGCCCTTTACAACCCTCTTATACTCCTAAATCCCTCTGCATATAACTTTTTTTTTTACGACTCCTACTAGACGGCGGAGGACTTAATGTTATATAAATGAACCAGATAACTACCACGCAGGAAGGACCAGCTGTTGAGTCACCCCATCAAAATATTGCCAGAATCAATTTAGGTTTTATAATCGAAGTATCATATTCTAGTGGCGATATAAACAGTTGAGAGATGTGTCGCAGGTTTGGCTACACTGGTCCTATATGGTAATACTGTATACTAAAAGAATAGCGATGTTAATTTATGATAAGGAGTATTAGTAGTTATCAGTGATTTATATCAGTAACTGGACTAGAGATGTGAGGGATTAGTGGTTATAATGTGGTAATACAATAGAGATAATGTAGTGAATGTGTATGTAGTGAAGTGTGGTGGTGGTGGTGGTGGTGGAGTGTGGTGGTGGGAGGTGGTGGTGGAGGTGGTGGTGGTGGTGGGAGTGTGGTGGTGGTGGTGGGAGTGTGGTGGTGGTAGAGTGGTGGGTGGTGGTGGTGGGTGAAGTGCTGGTGGTGGGAGGGAGGGGAGGTGGTGGTGGTGGGGAGGTGTGGTGGGTGGTGGGAGGTGGGTGGGGAGGGGAGGTGGTGGGAGGTGGGTGGGTGGGAGTGGGGGGTGGGGGAGGTGGAGTGTGGGTGGTGGGTGGAGGTGGGTGGGAGGGGGGTGGGAGGTGGTGGTGTGTGTGGGGTGGGTGGGAGGTGGTGGTAGGGAGGTGGGAGGTGGTGGGAGTGTGGGTGGTGGTGGGTGGTGGTGGTGGTGGTGGTGGGAGGGGGAGGGGGTGGTGGTGGGAGTGTGGTGGAGGTGGAGGTGGTGGAAGAGGTAGGTGGTAGGAGTGTGTGGTGGTGGTGGTGGTGGTGGTGGAGTGTGGTGTGGAAGAGTGGTGGTGGTGGAGTGTGGTGTGTAGGAAGAGTGTGGTGGTGGTGGAGGTAGGTGGTGGTGGGAAGAGTGGTGGAAGAGTGTGGTGACGGTGGTGGTGGTGAACTAACCCGAAGTCAGAACATAACAGTATTTAAAATTGTCATCTGAAGTCTTGTTTTGGAGAGAAATTAATGTTAAAACAACGTGGAAACAAGAGTAGAAATGACTTACACATTACAAGTTAAGCTCATCATAGAGAGGATTTAGGTAAGCCCCTAGTGTTTCAGCTCCCAGTGTTCCAGCCCCCAGTGTTTCAGCCCCCATTGTTTCAGCCCCCATTGTTTCAGCCCCTAGTGTTTCAGCCCCCAGTGTTCCAGCCCCCAGTGTTCCAGCCCCCAGTGTTCCAGCCCCCAGTGTTTCAGCCCCCAGTGTTCCAGTCCCCAGTGTTTCAGCCCCCCAGTGTTTCAGTCCCCAGTGTTTCCAATCTCCAGTGTTTTCAGCCCCAGTGTTTCAGCCCCAGTGTTTGCAGCCCCCCAGTGTTTCAGTCCCCAGTATTCCAGCCTCCCATGTTTCAGCCCCCAGTGTTCCAGCCCCCAGTGTTTCAGCCCCCCAGTGTTTCAGTCCCCAGTGTTTCAGCCCCCAGTGTTTCAGTCCCCAGTGTCCCAGACCACCACCAGACAGGGGGATTATTGCCTAAGCCTTTTCATGATTCCTCAACTGAGTGAAATGTTAGAATATGATTTTATTTTAAATTTATTTTTGTCCACCTCTGTAATCCCATTCTCCGTAATGGGATTAAATATTTAACTAGTAAATATCTCTCAGGTAATCTCGGTTTATATTACCTGTGCATCATTTGTGTGTGAACATATGTAACGTTATCCTGAAGAAGTATTGTATGTATCAGGTCTTAACATCACAAGTTTGCTGATAAACACTCACCCGGTATAAAAGAAACATTTAGGGAAATCTTGTGGAGAGAACCTGACGAGTGTAATGCTACCCCGGCAGGAGGTCACGGTAGCTGGCATCGTTTACCAGGTTGTTAGCCGGGAAGAATTAGTTGGGTGACGACCAGCTGGGTTAGGGAAGCTCTGAGGGTTGACGCCAGCAGGATAATGTTGATAGCGGCCATAGTGGGACACGTTATAGTGGTCGTAGAGGAAGATAGTGAGTCATCGTGGCACAACATGACGTCTGATTATTGTGTAATACTAGAGTCGTCACGATATTAAATGGCACAACTAATCATATTGGAGGTTGAAGCTGCTCATTATAGTGATGCATAATTATAGATAATTATATAGTTTTATAAAATGAACGACAATACTTCTCTTCAGGTGATTGTACGGGGGGGTTACTGGGTTACTGCGTCACCAGTAGTATGCGGGTCCCGGGTTAGATTCCATTTAATGATAACAGAGGATCGTGTTGCCAGATCTTGTATTTTCTAGCCTGGTTCAAGGATCTCTGTATTTTACCTTGTTATTTACCCTAACACACACACACACACACACACACACACACACCCACCCACCCACACACACACACCCACACACACACACACACACACCCACCCACACACACCCACACACCCACACACACACTACACACTCACACACACTCACACACACACACACACACACACACACTTCAGAACCTCTGCCATAAAACTTCTTCAGTAGCTCCTCAGGGCCATTCAATCTGTCCTTTTACCTTTCATTGGTGCAACACAACTCTCACGAAATTCTTGGGCTGGTCTTTCATTGGTCGCTAGCACTTCCTGGTGTGTGTGTGTGTGTGTGTGTGTGTGTGTGTGTGTGTGTGTGTGTGTGTGTGTGGTTTTCCTTAATTCATTGTAAATATTGTTATGTATACTTGTGAATTAAAGTACTGATAATATTTTCAAATGATACCGTTTATTTTGTTATTTATTTATATTTTGCAATATCATGGTAATGCAACATATATCCTCTGTACGATCCGGTGTCCTTGCAATATATTAGTGCCACATGATATAATGGCAACACATTCATGCAACATTATTATTGCAAAATATATATCAGTGCAAAGTAATGCCAGAGTAGGAATACTCTTCGTTTTACCTCAACGCTGAATAGAACTGAGGTTAGGTTAGGTTAGGTTAGGTTAGGTTAGGTTAGGTTCAGTTTGTGTTGGTGGTGATATTGGCTGGGTGGTGGACGGCGAGTGGTGGTGGTGCTTCAAGTTGCAATCTCACTCCCATAGTGCCCCCAGTCACTCACTCACTCACTCACACTCACTCACTCACTCACTCACCTTTATATATACTGTATAAGAACATAGTATGAGTATTTGCTGTATTTTAAACCATCTCTTTCTTCTGTATTTCCAGGTGAGGTGTTTAACATGTTATCCGAGTTCGTCCGTGTGTGTGTCAGGCTTGGTGGTAAGTAAACATACCTATACATACATACATACATACATACATACATACATACATACATACATACATCTGTACATACATACAAACATCTGTACATACAACTATCTATTCATACATACATACATACATCTATACATACATACATACATCTATACATACATACATACATCTATCTATACAGACATACATACATCTATCTATACATACATACATACATACATCTATACATACATACATCAATAAACATTCGTGGGGTGGGGGTGACTGGGGAGTGGGATAGAAAGGGGGAGACTCGACCTATAATTTTCCTCCTCCTGTCCGTCTGTAGGGTTAGGTGGCTATGGAGACGATATAATCAGCTCAAGACTCATAAATTGTAGCCAAACTTTACCATTGGTGGGAAGTCTATTACTGTAAGACCAATTAGGTGTCTAGTAACGAGGTTTATATGGGTTATATTAAGCTGGTGTATTGACCCTTAGTTTATTATTATTATTATTGTTAGTAGTAGGTAGTAACGCTGTTATTGTTGTTATTATTATTATTATTATTATTATTATTATTATTATTATTATTATTATTATTATTATTATTATTATTATTATTATTATTATTTCTATTATTATTATTGACGATATAATAATAATAATAATAATAATAATAATAATAATAATAATAATAATGATAATAATAATGTGTTGAAGTGTGGTAGTGTAATGGAGTGTGGTAGAGTGCTATGGAAAGTGTGTAGAATATGCTGAGTGTGGTGGAGCGTGTTAGTGCGTGGCAGTGTGTGATTGAGTGTGGAGGACTGTGGCAGAGTTTTATAGAGTGTTGTGGAGAGTGATGGAGTGGTGTGGAGTAGTGTGGATTGTGGTGGAACGTGGTGGACTGTAGTGGAGATTGATGGAGTGGTGTGGAGTGTCGGAGATTGTGGTGGATTGTGGTGGAATGTGGTGGAGTGTAGTGGAGATTGATGGAGTGGTGTGGAGTGTCGGAGATTGTGGTTGGATTGTGGTGGAATGTGGTGGAGTGTAGTGGAGATTGATGGAGTGGTGTGGAGTGTCGGAGATTGTGGTGGATTGTGGTGGATTGTGGTGGAATGTGTCCTACCATCCATAAATGATTGTACTGGCGTGGTTGGAGGGCGTTTGACACCCTACTTCTCCTTCCTAATTACATATATTGGTATAACCTCCCCTTACCCCCTACCCCCTTCCCCTACCCCCTTCCCCTTACCCCCTTCCCCTTACCCCCTTCCCCTTACCCCCTTCCCCTTACCCTTCCCCTACCCCTTCCCTACCCCCTTCCCTTACCCCTTCCCTTACCTCCCTTAACCTCCCTTGCCTTTACCCAGTGTGTGACGAAGCCCCAGTCTTTACTTAGGCTGCTCCACTGTAATCACCACCATCTTACTACCACCTACCACTGCAACAGCTACCATTACGTGTATGTATGTATGTATGTATGTATGTATGTATGTATGTATGTATGTATGTATGTATGTATACTAGCCAATGAGGGTCTTCCCGTTACTACCTGCTGTGTGCTGTTCTTCCCGTTGGTGTTAATTAGAAGGCAGAGCTATATGGTACACCTGTACCAATCACTATATAGCCTCTTGTTTATGGTGTATAATGTGCACTATACTTTTGCCTATCCACACTATACCAAGAATGGGCAGAAGCGTTGTTGGTGGTGGGGAAGGAAGGGAGGAAGGAAGGAAGGCTCTTTCATTGAATATTTTAATAGCGGTATTGGTCTATTGAGTCAAGTAATGTAACGACAGTGTGATAGTCAATCATTGTCAAACCTTACCTAACTTAACCTAACCTAACCTAACCCAACCTAACGTAATCTAACCTAACCCAACCAAATGATCTGTCCAGGTATTTTCTTGGCAGTTAAAAGAAGAATAAAAAAAACGAAAAAAAAGAATAAACTAGGAAATAACAGTAACTCATATAAGCGTTTATAAGAATATTAATCCCTCAAGCGGCAGCGGTATTGCATTCTGGAAAGACGCCGCTCAAGGTGCATATAAATACCGGGTAATGTTGCAAGACAGGAAGCAACACAGGAAATTTTTATTAAATATGAATGAATGAATGAATGAATGAATGGTTATGAAAGAATAGTGAAAGATGGAAGACATTTGATGAAAACTTGAAGGTGATTTGCACCGAAGGAAGGAGAGATGCTGTGGGTATTATCGCCAACTCAACGAATACATTTTCACGGGATGTAAATTGGCTGAGATGAAAACTGAAGGAATTGTTAAAATGCTGAGATGTGGTCGGGTCGGGTTGGGTTGGCTTGGGTTAGGTTGGGTTAGGTTAAGTTAGAAGTAAGCTTACCACTACCGCAGCTAAATGTATAAGACGTTTTTCTTAAGCTGCCTCCCCCCCCCCAAAAAAAATGGTCACCTAATTTCAGTAAAGCTTGACGCATTCACAGAGACACAACTTCAGACAGTGATTCAATTATATACTTAATTACTTTTTAAGTGAAGGTGACAGGCCATGCAGCTTCCTCACCTCCCCTCTCTCCCCGTCAACCCCTCACCTCCTTCCCCTCCCCCTCCTTCCCCTTCCCCTCCCTCACCTCCTTCCCCCCCTTGATCCCCCACCTTACTTAATTGCCACCCGTTTGTTCCACGTGTCCTCCTCCTCGTTCCCAACATCGATTGTTCCACTAACCCCCCCCCAAGCCCCCCACCCCCGATCATCATCATAATGCAACAGCGTCTCCAAAATCCACATGGAAATCATTTTGTCTCGTCTCGTGTGTGGCCAATGTGTGTGTGTGTGTGTGTGTGTGTGTGTGTGTGTGTGTGTGCTTTTGGCCTCTGGGTTTTCCTCCTTCACCCTTCCAGAAGCTTTTCCTCTTCTTCTTCCTCCCTACATGGTTCCTCCTCCTCTCCCTTGTCATATACCTTACCACTCCTTCCATCACCCTTGTCACCCCTTTATCCATGTCTCATTGTCATAATTCTTCCTCCTTCCTTATTCTCCCTTCTTCCCTCTCTAATATTCCCCCATTTCTTTTCTCATAGTTCTTCCCTCCTTTACAATTACTCTTTTCCTTCCGTACCTCCGAATTTAATACCTTTTTTTTTGTCTTGACTTGACCTGACCTGACCTCCTAGTTTACTGCCGTCCGTAACATGCTTTCCTTATTTTATGGCACTCCTATGGTCATGGTGCCCCTCTGTTCATGGCACCCCGCACCCCCTCTGTTCATGGCACCCCCTCTGTTCATGGCCGCCTCCTTCCTCAGTGCCTCCTACACGCCCCCTCC